CGTGAGAGATACTCACTAAATAAGGAAAACTGCAACAAAGACAAAGGAAATTTGTGCTTTTCTGTTGATCTTCAAAAAGTAATAATGTTGCCTAGACTTGAAATGTTTAAAAAAGCGATCTTTGCTTCTCGCCTAATAGTTTACAATGAAAGTTTTGTGCCAGTTGGTAAAATTAGAGATTTTCCTCCATTTGCCGTATTGTGGCATGAAGGCATCAGCGGACGACACCAAGAAGATATTATTAGTGCCTTCAACGCATTTCTTCTTCACCACAGGGATGTCCGCAATATCACTCTATGGTTGGACAATTGTTCTAGCCAGAATAAAAACTGGGCATTATTCTCCTTTCTTGTTTATATTGTGAACTCAACAAGTATATCCGCTGAGACCATTCACTTGAACTATTTTGAACCAGGTCATACCTTTATGTCGGTGGATTCGTTCCACCACCAAGTAGAAGAATCACTAAAGCGTCAAGTCAAAACATATGATTTTGCAGACTTTGAGAAGGCAGTACAGTCCAGCAATAAGGGAAAGGTACAAATCAAATCCATGCAACTGAATGATTTTCAATTGTGGAAAAGTCTCCATTCAGTTAGTAAAATTAAGAAACAGGATCCCAGTTTTACTATGAGTAAAATAACGGAATTAATGGTAAAGAGGACTGAATTTGTGATGTACTACAAACGCAATTTTGAGGAAGAATGGAAGAAACTAGTTTTTTTGCTAAAAAAACATATTGGTGAAATGCCAACAGCCCCAATAAAAACGGCACCAAATGGCTTTGAGCGTCAAAAAGTTGAAAACCTGCTTAAAGCGGTTGGTTCCATTATGCCAGGTAACAGGAAAGAATTTTGGGAGAAACTTCCAGAAAAAGTTATCTAGTAAGTGTTCTTTTATTATATTTAATGTGTTCACCATAAAATAAAGTAATTAAAAGCTGGTGTGTTACTAAATTCATTTTCATCTACCAAGTACCTCAATTCCCAACGACTGATATCAAAAATACGATTATTATGACAAATATAAATTTGATAATGTCCTAGAACAAATGCCCGTATTCGCCAAATACGGGGTTATTGCATAGGAAATTGGTGTAACAGAACTAAAAAAAATCCTCGTATGGCAATTTATACTTGTAAAAACAATCAAACAAGGTTGTTTATGTAGACCACATAATTTTAGAGCCCTTATTACTCAATATGGACATCAATTATTAATACCATGGACGTCCGTTAAAGCTACAAACAAAAAGAAACTTTAAATTGATATTGCGCCACTTTCCAATATTTCCGAATACGGGGGTTTAGCTTATGAGGGCAGAATAGTAGACAGCCTGCATTCATCAAAATTCTTTTCTGGAATTATTTGGGTCTTAGGGATATTCCCAAAAAAACGGGAATTTCAAGTACTTTTGGATGACAGTATAGATGTGGCTCTGTTGCAGCAAACATGCTTAATCCGGGAGATCGTCTAACTTTCCCGAATTATGATGTTATCCGAGCTGACACATTAACTGGACGGGGTGGCGGCTTGGCAGTCCTAGTGAAACGTGGTATTGACTACCATAGAAGCATAAATACCGAAATGCAGAGCATTGAGGCGGCTTCCGTGGAGGTCAATATGACCTTCAGGCACCAGATGTCATCGAATTTGCAATATCTAGAAACTGTAGATACAGTATCACTTCTCGAATCATGTATGACATTTCTAGCGATCATCTTCCTGTCGTACTGGATGTGAGTAATGAGCAAACCTTGGAAGAGAGAACTTGCAGCTGTACTTCCTGTACAACAACACGGCATACCTTTTCTCCCTGAAGTCATTCGTCAGAAAATTTCTGACAAAAGGGCTGCAATTAAGCAAGCGAAAAGGTCTTGTCATCCTGATGACATTCGCAGAGCGACGAATCTTGTTCATGAAGTAAAAAATGCTCTCCATGAATTCCGCAATGAGCAATGGAACGGGGGGATGCTTGACTCAAGTACTCCTCTCTGGAAAGTGGAGTAGTCGCTCAGAAGCGGAAAGCGAGAACAACTCCCGTACATCCACGGTCCTGGGGGCATAGTCTTCAGAACAGAGGACAAGGTCGAGGTTTTTGCTGATGCTATGGAACCACAGTTCTCTCCCAACTATGATCTTGATCATGACCTCGACGAGGAGCAACAAATTGTAAGATCCGTCATGAGATATTTGAGGGCTAACGGCATCAGTGATCCCGGCTCCGCCATTAGTGATTCTGCCTCAGAAGATTCTTTTTCAGAAGATTCTTCGGCTGAAGAGTTGCACAGCACATCAGCGGCTTCTCCCGAGATTGTGCATTGAATACCAGCAGAGCTTCAAGGTCATATTAGTTATAATGATTTCAAAGATGGTGGGTTAGATATTTCCCCAGGACTATCGTCCCATTAGCCTACTGTCTGCTGCGTCTAAGCTCGCTGAAAAGGTGATTCTACGTCACCTTGCGAATTTCTCGTCAGATCACCATGTGATTTCTGACGTGCAATTTGGATTTCGATCTGAGCATAGTACGGAGTTACAGGCGGTTAGGCTTGTGGAGAAAGTAACCAGGAGCTCCACCCTCAACGAAAGTACTGGCATCCTGCTTCTGGATGTCTCGAAGGCATTTGACAAGGTGTGGCCTTCTCTATAAACTAATTCAAAAGGGCTTTCCATTTTGGCTCCTAAAACTTTTGAAATCCTTCCTTGAAGGTAGAAAATTTCGGATAAAAATTAATAATGTCTTGTCGACAGTACGACCCATCAGAGCCGGCGTCCCTCAGGGTTCGGTTCTAGGGACAATCCTTAACTCACTTTTCACGCATCATGTCCCTTTCCCTAGCGACTGTGAAGTCTATCTATATGGTGATGACACTGCTCTGGTGGTCCAGTCGCGTTCCGGGAATCTTGTTCACGACTGGTTACGAAGTGCGGTGGATGAGATATTGGAATGGGCAGATCGGTGGGTAATCAAAATTAATTACTCGAAAACGCAGGCTATTTATTGTACTAAAAAACGTAGCGGTGCCCCGCTTGAGGTTTCAGAGAATGGAGCTCGCATACCATGGGTAAATTCTGCCAAGTATCTCGGTATCACTCTTGACAGGGGGATGGCCTGGCAGAATCACACTGAAGCGTTAAAAACTAAATTCCAAATTATGAACTCTACCCTATGCTATCTTGGATCTCAAAAGTTCGGCTATACAAAATGGTTATCAGACCAGCAATCACTTACGCATGTGCAGCATGGTGTTTTCTTGCCTAAACGCATACGCGTAATCTGCAGGTTTTAAAGAATAGAACCTTGCGACCCATCACTAACGCACCACGGTATGTTTCCAACGATACCCTTCACAGAGACCTTGACATCCCTTACCTAAGGGACTACATCAAACATCAGGCGCAGTTACGTTATAGTCAAGCGGAATCGCAACCCTCTGTTGCGTGTGTCAGTAGACTACACAGTCGAGCAAGTTCGCATGCACGCAAAACCATGGCTCGCACTGTTATCAAAATCAAATCGTGCAACTTCTAGGTCCAACCAAAATTGCGATTTTTGCCGCACACAATTTCCTAAATTATTTTTTGGATTAATTTAAAATAACCGGCGCACTTCACCACCTTCTTTGCTCTTCCCTCTTCCTTCCTTTTTTCTTCTCACTTTGTCCCTGACTTCGTCTGGTATCTGGGCAACCAGACCTGACAGACCTACGACACTCTAACAAAGAGCGAAGGTCCCACGGACCGCTCTGACGGACAATGACGAATAGAAAATAGTCGACATTATTGCAACTTTAGGCATTGCTATGGGTTATATTGAAGATCAACAAAGGGTAAATCCAAACCGCATGCCCATGACAAACAGCTTGTCGTACTGACTGAAGTTTAAATCTGGAAGACGTTGACGAGAATATTTTCAAGGCAGCATGACAAAACTGAAAAACGTATCCTTATGAGCTTACAGAATCGTCCGTGCATAGAAGCAGATTGCATATGGATGTGTGAGGGAGATGGATGTATGAAAGTAATACTGATAGTTTTACTGTGACCCACCAAAAACCGTGAATCGACCTAGAAAGTTCTGATTAACGCGAAAGTTGTTGTTTATTTGAGACTTTCTGGCAGAAAATAACTTTTTGTTCTATTGAAACATCCTGATACTCTATTATGATTTTCAGCTTGAATGTTTTTTACTTCTCACGCCTACTGCGAAGAAGTATTGTTATCGCGAAAAATTCGATATTGAGATGTTATGTTTTTGGGTGTTATGACCAAAAACCATGTCACTCATTTCCGTTGTTTTTTTTATACTCCAACTACCACGAAGGCCTAAGGCCTAAGCATCCTTTGGGTACCGTGGGGCTATAGGGGGATACATGAGAAAGGGGGAAAGGTCTGTCCGTTGATCTTTGACCCCTCTATAATTTGGAAAGTACCGCTCGGATTTTGTACGAAACCTTCACGCAATGTTACTACTATGCCAAGGACTAAAAAGCTTTGTAGTTTGTCAAAATCGCTCCAGTGGCGACGGAGCGAGAGGCAAAAAACGAAAAAAAAAATTGCTTAAACTTTGTTTTTTGACGTTTCCCTGGCCCTTTTCAAAAAAAAATACATTGACCATTAAAACAAAAATACCTCATCAACATTCGCGTGTCAATGTGTACGACGTAGTCCCCCGATGGACGAGCGTCGTACGTCACAGTCGACAATCGCTCCCGTACATCTGTGGACTGTGCATGGTGAAGGACAATATCGTCATTCACGCGGGACTAGTTATCTCAAAGATCATGTGCGCCTGCAGGAATTTCTCTCAGGGCGAGCAGGAAGGTCATCTAATTTTTTGTTATACATGTTCGTAGCTAACTTTTTTCAGAAGAGTTATTTGTGTCAGACAATCCCTTGGGAAATGATGACAACGTTACGTTGGAAGTACAGAGTCAACTACTTGACGCCATTTTGCTATATTGAGATTCATACCTACGAATAGTTTGAGTACTCACCAAGTGACTTGTTTGTCATTTATGACAATCAGCATGACTACAATAGAGATAGCATAGAAAAAACAGTCTCTGACCAATGGCCACCAGTTCAAATAGACTGCAGCTGTTGAACATAGACCACAACATGCTATCACGAACATTATGTTGAACACTGCCGAGCCTATTACACCAGATATACCTGGAATAAATTTAGTTTACGTGGATACATTACGGATGAGAATGAAGGTATCCTATGATAAATTGACCTCCTTCTAACTTGTCTGTATGACCATTTAGATATAAGATTTACACAAAAGTTAGAAGGTAAAGTTTTTCAGGCAATTTACTTTCTATATATTATTCATGGAAATATTAGTAGATTTTTCCAAATTACAAATAAACTGGAGAGCATAATTATAGCGCCACCATCAAATTTCGGCTTTGTTTCGCTCGGGTCAATTGTAACTTAATATAACGTACAGGGATCGTAATACAAGCAAAAGTAATGAATATTGAATGAATCTAATTGATCTAACAACAAATTCATCCCTGTCTTATATAAAGTCACATTTATTTGGGGCGTATTTAGATGTTTTTGAGAAACTTGTATACATTTCATGGCTTACTGAGGATTTTGTAAAGCACTAAGATTTGGCCAAATCGTTTTTTAACTATTTCATTGACACTTTTTAGGCACTACATGATGGTTGTTTCTAAAATGTTGTGCCCGTCGTTTTATTTTTGAGAAACCATCATCAACTTTATTTCTTTATATGGTCCGAAAAAAGTACACCCTGTACGAATTAAATGATGTACTATATCTTACATTTGTTTTCTTATTTATAAAGGAAATTGTTTTTTTTTTACTTTTTTATTTTACTAAGTAGGCGTTCCAAACAAATGCTTGGTGTAAGATTATGTGTTTGCTGTAGCGGATATAAGCCAATTGTAAGATCGCCCAGAGGAGGTAAGAGGGGGAGGGATACCAGTTCTGAGACCTCTCAATGGCAGTGCCAGATGTAAAACCTGTTGGCAGATCAGTCCCCTATTGACAAGCTTGTTGTTTAATAGAAATGGGTCGACGGAGGTCGTAGTTAAGTGGCACACGTCTCCCACCACAATTCGTCGACAGGGCGAAGTCTAACGCGCAGTGGCGCTTTTACCCCGCTTCAATATTGACATTCCTCTACACGATTTGCCCATGCTGCAACATAAATCGAAAGACCACCCATACAAGAACATTACAACACAGAACAAACTCATTGGTGCCAATCAGTGATTGTGTAAGACTTATCAAGAGCGCATTCAGATGCAGAATTGCCAGATACAGATTCAGTGCATCAGATATACACATATATACCCACTTTGAAAAGTTTTTGCGCAACATCCAGCAAAATGTACTTGAGGTTATAGAGAGAAGCTTCGGGTATAGAGTGAATATGCAGGAGTTTGGAAAATACGTGTTACAGACCAAGGATGTGGTGGACATCAAGTCCTTCAATACAGCCAACAAAGTAATAAATGAGGGAGTAGACTTACCTAATGTTAATGAAAACTCACGAGTACTCTCTGACGAGATTATACCTCAGTCACCCGAGTTTGAAGAAAATGATTCTGGTAAGTTATTATCATTGTTATTAAATTTAAGAGACTAATCATGCTTTTTGGTTATTTTCAGGATGGACAATAGAAACAATTCTTTTTGCTGAAGTGAATATAAATAAGTTTTCACCAATAGGAGGTTCACCTTGGGTAGTTGCCACACCTTATCGATAAAAAAGGAGGGCAAAACTTTCATAATCAATGCCAGAGTTACTTCGTTTGGGCTATGACATCTGCATTGCTACCAGCTCACACTCACGCATCACAACCATCTTCCTACCCACACTTCTCTAGGATCCTGAAGGTTGGTGATATGACTTTCTAGTTAATCTTAAAGACATATCTGTGTTTGAAAATAATAATGCTATGTCCATTAATGTATATACGTACTACTCTGCTACTCAACCATAAATCTCAGAGTATACTCTATAATCTCGGCATTCCACAGCCAACAAAGCATGGTTGGGAACTGACTTGCAGTATAGCCATTGAAATTGTCCTGTCGTTGACTCATCCCTCCACGCTTTTGATGACGCTAACAGCGCTCATAGCGAGTAAACGTGGAATGTGCTATTTGCTCACCAGGAACTATCTAGGCAGCGAGTTGACGTTTTGTCGTTTTTTTGACGTTTTATACGTTTCTACGCGATAACCCGGATGGCATGGAAAAACTGATTTTCTGATTGTCCGCCAGGTGAAAATAAATGTTATTCATTATGATTACAATTAATATTTCTCATGATACACTAGCAGCTCAATCATCTGTTACTGTCGTTAATTATGTTGAAATTTTCAAAAAGCGTTTGTTTGAATCTATGTCAAAGAAGTAAAACAAAAAGAATATATATCTGAGCAGATTTTAGACTGCTTTGAAATAATTATTTGTCATAGAGAACTCAGTTAATATCAAAAGAACTATTTTTGATGTAGGAGCTACAAAAACCAATAACTCGAATTTAAACTTTATTTTTCACTCTTCCCCCAGAAAACGGAGTACAGTTTCTTAATAAAACACTTTTATGACCTTTACATTTGAACATGATAGTACTGCTGAATATAAGAACAATCTAACGGTTTAACATTTTAAATAATGGTGAGTGAGCAAGCATAGCTAGAAGACTAACTTTGAAAAAATGGTGAATATGTTACCTTTCGAATGTGACGCGTAAAAATGGTGGATATGCGTGGTTTGATTTTCATGGTCTACGTCAACTGTCGAGGAAGTATTGTGAAACATTTCGAAAATACGACAGTATGCTTTTTTGACTTTATAACATATAATGTGTACTTTACGAAGAAAACCGTGTCACTCATTTCCGACAATCTGTCTGTCTGCCCTCTAGGCTTTGCTGTGCTATAACTTAAAAGTACCAGTCGGATTTTGTTTAAGTTTTGACCACTCTTTGCTAAGAAGAAAAAACCTATTTTGGTTATCGAAATTCGATTCAGCAGCGGCAAAGATAAAAGCAAAAAAGACTCCAGTACCTCTCAACGTTTCAGATGCACCTGATAATTTTCAGAAGTGAATGTGTAGTGTTTTGGGAGTTGGGAGTTGTACGAGGTAGAGAAAGTGCATAGTCAACCTACTTTACGCCATTTTTTGAGATAAGTTTCAAGCTACATTTATTGGTTAGAACAATTGAGATGGGTCGGAGAGGCAACTACAATATAAATTTTAGAAGTTCCACTTACCTAGGGGCGAAATACCCTCAGCGAAAGGCAAAAAATATTCCCTCAAATACAAAAGGTATAAAATGACGACTACACAATGTAGTTCTTGTTCTCAGATGTATTGAATTTTCGCTTATTGTCTACATCAAAGAGAATGAGAAATTACGCATGCTATGGAAATGATCATTATCAAGTGGATGCTTTTATGGAACAAGTTCTTCAAATATTTATTCAAGTTTTTTTTATCGTCAACCAAGGCGGGGTAGAAGACAAGAAACATATACGAGGTCTGTAAATTTAGTGATGAGAATGGCAACATTGCGTTCGATCTGGTAACACTGGAGGCACGGAGCTTAGAGGGGGGACAGGGGAGCATATGGTCCGCTTTTAGTACAAGTTTGAACTTGCTCGAGTCATTAGGTTGTCCGTAGCCATTTATTGTGAAACAGTTTTAATTTCTTTTGTGTTCTAAAAATGAGAGACACCAATTTCGATCAACGGTGTGCTATCAAGTTTTGGGCACAATGCAACGAAAACTTGCTAATCTTCAACAGGCCTGCGGAGATGGTATTTTGTCAAGAGCTCAAGTTTTTCGGCGGTTTAAGGCATTTTGAGGTGGAAGAGAGTCGATTGTTTACACAAAAACACCTACTGAGAAGCTACGAACTAATAAATATGGTAAAGAGGTTTCAGGAAACATACTCAAATTTCAAAATTTTGAAAAGAAAACGCCAGTAGCTTTTGTTGTATATGCCGATTTTAAATCTCTATTAAAACCAACCGATAGTTGTGAATCAAATCCAGAACCCAAGTGAAACCCACATATGTGAATCAAATCATCGTTTGATCCAGGAGTGATAATGTTTGCTTTGTATCGGGGTAAGGACGCTTCTAAAGAATTCTTTCAGGAATAGAAGCAGATTTAAAATTTCTCTATTTTAAATATATGAAAGATATAACTTCTATGATTCCTTTATCATCGGATGAGCATCGTGAATTCGATATGGCTACGATCTGCAATATTTGCGAGAAACTATTTTTAGGCGGAGTTGTAAAACTCCTCGATAATTGTCACATAATGGGTAAAGTAAGATTCGGTGCTGCGCATTCCAAATGTCATATAAGTGTCTGAGTGGGTATTACAGCCATCTATTTATCAAACAATTATCTTCCCATGGAGATAACGTAGATGTAGCGCAAAATAAGGAACAGTATATTATTTTCTCAGAAACCTTATAAATGCATGATCATGTCGATAGAAGTGGTACAAAGAAACATACAAATGGGTTAATTGACAGTTGTCGCTTTTTACCGGGATTATTACAAGCGTTTTTTTTTTTTTTTTTTTTTTTATACTCCAACTACCACGAAGGCCTAAGGCCTAAACACCCATTGGGTACCGTGGGGCTATAGGGGGATACAGGGGAAAGGGGGAACGCCACACAGACTCTGGCGAGGGAACACGTGTGCATGCAACATGCACACATTCTGGCTCCGCCTACGAGATCCGCCGGGTGGTACCTCCACGTTCGACAGTCAGAGACCGTCTACCACCTACGGACAATCACAACATCCATAGCCAAGAGAAAAATTTCTCCTGGGACGGGACTCGAACCCGCACAGCGCACGACGACTGATCAGGAGACTGACGAGTCTACTACTGCGGCCACCGCTGCTGCCTGGAGCGTTATTAGTGGGTTTGACTGAGACTAAAAAATACTTCACAGATCCAAGAGTGATTAATTTGATGAGACAGAAAGGTGTGTTTCCATACAGTTAAGTTGATAATGCAAAGAAGTTGGAGCAGGAATTTCTTCCCTCCAAATGTGAGTTAATTTGAATGATAACGATATATCTGCAGCAGAGTACCAACGAGCAAAAGCTATTTGGAAAACATTTGCCTGTAAGAGTCTAGGTGAATACTCA